TAATTATATTGAATTATTTATTTATTTAAGTCTAAAAACAGCAGCAAATAATATTTGCAAATAACAGCGAAAATAATGTGGGAAAGCGTTTTTGTTTTTGTTCTAAATATTTGTTATACATACATATACACTTATTGACTCTCCCAATTTCTATATAAGCAAAGGTTTATTTTCTCACAGTGTAAGGTACAGTTTACATTGCTTATAAATGAAGCATACATTTCACTTAGGCAATTAATTACTTAAATAATTAAATTAAATTAATTAATGTAAAAAAAACACAATTTGGCAAAAAAGCTAAAATGAATGCCAGCATTTTTAGTTTTCGCAGTGTGATTTTTTTCCGTGTACGAAACTTTTGTTGCTGACTGTAAATGGCACTGTGCTGTTATACAGTGTTACGCTACGTTATTGTTATTGGTATTTTTTTATTTTTGTTGTTGTTGTTTAGCAACAAACAGTTGCTATTAAGTAAGTAACAGCATAAATTAAGCTACAGCACTGAGTGAAAATTTAAATTATTTTAAAGTTTATTTGTCAGTATGTTTGTATGGTTGTATATACCTATTTGTATGTACTTAATATAATTTACAAATATTTTATTTAAATGTAAATAATTGTTTACGCACATAATATATGGTTCATTGCGAACGCGGCTTAGATATATTTAAGTAATAATTTATATTTTTGTTTACAGTCGATACCATTATTAATCGGTTCATTTTTCGAAATCAATTTTACAATTCGTTACTAATTTTAATAAATATATATATTTTCATACAGAGATGCTAGTTTTATAGGTTACCATTACATACTAGTTTTTTTTCTTGATTAAAGTTCGAAATATGGGTATTTTGAATTGATAAGTTAGTTAAGGCGAGGTTATGGATTTTTATAGAAAAAAATTAATTTTTTATAACAGAATTGTAAGAAAATTTAAGACAGTAAACACATATAAGCAAAAACTATAGGGAAGAATATAAAAAAATTATAGGTTAAAAATTATAGGAAATCATTATAGTATATTAGTTTTAAAAAATATAGTAAAATTATTATTGCATATATTAAGAAAATCGCTACCAGAATATGTTAAAAATAATTAGCAATATTTTAGAAAATCACTTCCAGAATATATGTTAAAATAATTATAGAAAATTTCACAGGACACAAATTATAGGAAGTAATTAGGGCAAACAATTTTTAAAAATATAGGAGAAGAAAACAACTCTTATGTTATGGAATTTAAGAAATCAATTGTTATGGCAAAACTTTATATAAAATTATAGGAATAAATAAAAATTTAGAGGAAAAATTATAGGAAAAAAATAAAATTACTAATTTCTTCTAAAACTTACAAAATATAGATTGGAAACAATTTTTAAAAAATTTTTGTTTTAAATGGCAAAATTTTGTAAAAAAAAAGCTAAATGATTATAGCACAAAAAAGAAAGAAAAATATTACATACACAATGTTAAAAAACTCGCAAACATAAAATATATTTTAAAAAATGTTGGTACAAAATTTATAGGTAGTCATTATGGGAAACATATGTAAAAATTATAGTAAAGTAAATGAAGTATAAAAAGATTACGTTAAAAAATTTTAAATAAATTTGTATGGCAAACATTAAAAAAAAAATTATTGGAAGAAATAAATAAAAATATGGAAACAAAAAATTATGGCAAAAAATATAATATGAAAGTATTGTATTATTTTTAACACTCATTTCCTTCTCAAAAACATATTCTAGTATTAAAATCCTGTAGCTTTTATTTTGCGCAATATAAATTTGAAACGAAATAAACTTTTTTAACACTTTTATACCAGTTTTGGCAACTACTTTTGCATTGTTTTATAGCTTTTTCTTACAAAATTTTGCGTATGTGCTTTGTGGTACAACGTTGTATGCACATTTATTGCGTGTAAAGTTTTATGCCAGTTTTAAAAACAATTTTTTTTTGGACTAATAAAATTAGTTTATGTAATTTCAAACATTTTATTAATGGTATGCGCTGTTACTAGCGAAAAATGATTATGGCAGATTTTTTTTTTTTTTAGCCTTCGAGTTATAATTTTTTCGCAAAGTTGTTAGTTTTTCAGTGTACATGCATATATGTATTAATATATTTAGTAAAATATTTTATTTTTTACAATTCTATTCTTTTTAAACAAAATCATTTTCTTTTCTACATTTTTACCATTTCGCTGGAGTTTCGTAATATTTTAGGTATAGTGAGCAATTTTCTTTCGTTTGGTAGTAAATCAGGAAAATTAAAACTAAAATGTAAAAAAAAGTTGAACACGGTAAAAAAAAAAATATTTAAAAGGTTATCAAATATTTCGAAGATATTAAACGTTGGTAAGCGACTGCGCGTAGCTCTACAAAAACAAAAGCCTTAAAGTTGTTCGTGTAATTCTAGGTATATTTCTCGCTAACTTCTGGATTGTCATTTTCAGAATTTACAGTCGATTGGCATCATTGAAATCTCTACTACTTTTTTTACAATTTATTATATCGTAAAATATTTCATAACTTTGTTAGCTTCTCCACTTCGTTGCACATGCGCATATATAAGTATCATTTAAATTTATACAGTTATCGCTTAACAATTAGTTTACACGTTTATTACTTGTCATTTAGCTTACAAACTAGTTTAAAGACTAGACCTACAAAATACATTACAACAAAATTGTTTAAGTCAGTCAAAAATATAACGGTTTTTACTTCTGTTATGTGCACGAAAAAAGCCGAGTTGTGTTTGTTGTTTGGGGGAATTTCTTTTTTTTTTCGAAAAAATATTAAATGACAAATTTATACCATTTCTGGATTTTAATCTTTCGTTTTATTTACTTATACAAATTTTTTCGTCTTTACAATTTTGTCTGTGACTTTTTAAGGAACTAAATTTTTTCTGCGATATTTTTACTCAGATATATTTTATTTAGAGATTTTTCCAGATTTCGTGAAATATTAAAACAAACATGAAGAAACCTCTTGCAAGCATTTTTACCCTGCTGTACCAAGTTTTACGCTCTTGAAAGGGTTTGGCGTTTTCTCCAACTTTGCTGAATCATTTTAGACTAGTTTTTTAACTTTACTGCAGTCGGTTGATTTACATATGATGTTTATTACCAATTTTTGCACAGCAAATTTACAAACATACATTTTTGAAAGTATTGAGTTTTTTCTTATTTTGTATAAGAGTTTCACACAAGTTTCTATTCTCAATTCTTTTAAAGCAGCTATTTCATATACAGTACTTCTTACAACGGATAAAAATTTGCTATGGGTAAGGAACGCTATGTTTGCGCTTAAAACTATTATACAAATTGTCAAGCATTATTATTATTATTATTTTAGTTGGCCCAGCGTGTGCACGCGTTGGCTTTTGTCACTTTATTTTGAAATAATTTCGTCTTATCTCATTTAATTATAATTTAATATGTACTTAATGTAATACATTTTAGTCTTTATAAATATGCTTTTAATGCTAAATATGCATTAGTTTATCAACAAGCGAAACCGTTCCAATACATAAGCATATATTCAATGTACATATATATGGTAAATAAGAGTTTGCATGCGTACTTTGTGTGCTGCACAAGTTTCGTAAGTTATTATTTTGTTCCACTGCGTAGTCTAGGAAATTATTTAAGAAAAATGTGACAAAAATTTGAAAAATTTATAAGAATCAGCGTAACAAGCAAATCAGTTGTTTGAAAAATTATACCAGTTGTATAACAGTTCAATAAAAGTGCTGAAAACATGTTCTAGGCCATTTCTTGGCTAGTTGCAACATTATTAACACGAGTTGCACGAAAATTAAAATTATACCAGTTTGATTTTTAACGTTTTAAACGTGTTCAACATGTAATTATGTCGAAATCGTTGTAATGTATGCAAATATTTTAGTTAACGCAAAAAATGCTTTATACCAGTTTTATACCAGTTCGTGCTAGGTGTCTAAAAACTTTTTTAAACAGATACTTTTAAGTTTAAATTTTACTACACATAATTTTCATTATACCAGTTACATATAGCAAGCTTGTATATGTAAACTGCGCACTTTTGATCACAAAACAAATCGAAATTTTGAAAAATATGCAAAAAAACCTGCTTAAGCTTCAGTAGTATTGCTTTCCAAAACATTTTTTTAACTAAAACAAATCAAAAACTTTCCACTGTTGTTGTTACGGTCGTTTCTAACATTGACAGCAACTTTTATATAATTTGCATGCAATTACGTCACAAAATGGCTTTATACCAACTTTTAATAGTCGCCAAACAATTAAAAAACAGTCGTCTTCATTTGTGATTTTTCAAAATTCGCATGCACCTTTTTTTTAAATATCAATTGGCATAATTTATAACCGTCTTATTGCCACTAAAATACAACTGCTTTGTATTTTTTTCCTTCTAATGTACTTTTGGCGTTGCCAGACTTCAATAGTTACTTGTTTTACTATGAACACACACTTGTTACGCATACACATTTATACATTGTCTACCATATGTAGTGTACGAAATATAGCTATTTTCACTTTAAGCTTAATAACAAAATCACAAAATTGCAACTGACACGAGCACAACGGAAATTCCTTTTAAATTAATTCGCGATTCAACGTTCCAAACATCACAAACATAAACACAAAGCACGCGCCGCTACTCATCGCGCCGCAAGCGCCAAAAGTCACGTTCACGCGCCAGCACATCGGCCACATCCGATGCAGTCATGCGGTCCACTGTCGGGCTGGTGGTGATCGGTGGCGCGCCGCCCGCCAACTGCGTGTGCAGCGCGTCGCCACTGCTGCCGACAGCAAGGCGCGTGGGCAAGCGACGCGTTGTGATGGGTGCCGCCAGCAAAGCCGTGTCGTCCTGTGTGGTTGCGCACACGCCGCTATCGCCAGCGCTGTTGCTGCCAACGCCGCTGCCGTCCGCATCGCTTGCATTCTCCTCAAAACCATACCAATATCACATGAGCATTATTTGCAGCGCTACTCATTGGTCGATAGTGCGATATATGCGCCGCTGTGGTTCGGGTGTATAATGAATGCGCGTGCGAAAATGTTGCGGCGAGCCGGGCACGCTCTCCGAGCCACGACGCGGTGGTGGCAAAGGCGGTGAAGCATTCACATAGCTGTGTGTGCCAAAACTAAATAGTAAACAATTATTTGTATACAAATTCTATGCTACTCACCGTCTATTGAGCAGTGGTGAACCGCCTGGCGGCTGACCGCTCAGCTCCAACAGCTGCTTGCGCAGCAACAGTGGCGATTGGCCGCGATTATAGCGCGGCGGTGGATCTGGACTGCGGTGGCGCCGATCTAAGCCGGTTAACAAGTGCGCATTTGAGGACCCACTAGTCATGCCGCTTGCGCCAGCTGCGGCATAGCGGCGCAAAAAACCGCTGGTGCCATCGTAGAAGTCACTGCCTGCTGTTTGCGCTGGTTTCGGCTGCGCCTCCGTTGGCGAGGTGCTGTTGCTTGTATTGCTACTGCTGCCCGCGGAGAGCGTACGATAGTAGGCGAGTGTTGGTTTGGCAGGCTGTGCGCTTGGTGGCAGCGCGCTCTCGTAGCCAATGCCCTCATGCTGATTGGCTGCGCCACTGGTGGAAGGCGAGCCTGCAGAATGCAATTGTAATTTAACATAAGAGGCAAATTGACGCTTCATGGCGCCGGCAAGTGTGTTAAACCAGCCTGTGGTGTGTTGTGGTGAATATGACAATGCAGACAAGTGCGTGAAGTTGAGGTGTGGAGTGGTATGGTGTGTTATAGTTGTACAGCGCAATGACAGAAGTGGGAATGATGGTGAAGTTGAGTTAGTGAAAACATGAGTGAGTTGAATTTCATAAAAGTGAAAGAGAGCAAGCAATAAAGAGGTGAAAAAAGTGTGGAAGTGTAATGTTTTGAGTGCATATAAGATGTGATGAGTTTATTTAATGTGCGTAATTTTAATTATTAAACAAGCAAGCGTTTATGGTTTACAGCCCAAGCAAAGCATTGAAAAGGAATGAAAAAAGTACAAAATAGTAAATATATGTGGTGAAATACGTACATATGAGTCGTAAAATGTAAATACGAACAGTAAGTAAAAATAACGGTTAAACGATTGAAATCGAAATTTATATACAAAATGTATAAAACATTATTTTTTTTTAATGTAAATGTGGTAAAATATTTTTGTTCTTATAAAAACAAATGTTTCTAAGTAAATTACTTTTTTTATATAAATACTTTTTTTATT